AGCTTCCTTGTTGGGATCCATGACGGTAAACATGTGGAACAGACAACCGGAGAACGACTTTCCAAATCGCGAATTCGTCGAAACCGGAAACGCAAAAGATTTTCTATTCAACAAATCAACCAAACATACTCTATTCATCTATAAAGTATATAAAACTAAGAAAAATAAGGTAATCTGCATTAGTTACGAAATAATAATGTCCTTTCTTTTTTTTTAGTTTTTCAAAAAAGTCTGGTTCTCGACTACCGAAACCGAAACCACTGGAAGACAGAAGTTCAGACAGCTATTTAGACAGGAAGTCAGTTCGAAGGCGGAACATTAGACATGGCCCCTGTCCATTAATACTGAACCCGTGCGTGGACAATAACGTATCTCAACTTCTTTAAGTATCGTGAATAAACTAAATTATTTATGTATTGGCCTAGAAGACGTTTCTTTGAGAGGGATAGGGAGCTATTTTCTTTGACGGCGTAGGCATTTCAAGCGGCGCTTTACGCTTGTGGGCGGAGCTCCAGCTTTTTTCTTAACCTGTAACCGACTATAAGTGCCCCTGTAATATTTTGTGTGGAGTAGAGCTCAAATAAACGCCGAAAGTGCAGTATATCCACGATTAAGTTGCTGCTAGTCGTGAGGCTTAATGTTTTGCGCCAACAATAACGTAGAGTTTTTCCTCGGTTGCGACGAATCGCCACTGCGCTACGAACTTGCCGAAAATTTCTGCATATGCGACCGCTTTCTTCTGGAAACCTATGGTGACCTGCCACTCACTTTTGGCCAAAGAACAGTGAAAATAACCAGATGTGAAAACAGCCATAACAAGCATTAAAGAAATCAAGATGGGGGTCATAGCATTAGCTTCCCAACGTTGCGAGACTAGCACAGGATTTCTCTTATTCGCCGTTTATAAAACAGGAGTCGACTTTTTCCGGTCTGATCTTGAAAACAAAGTTTGGTTCGGTGAATTTTGTAAAAGAAGGCCCGTGCTTTCCCGTTTGTAGGGTCATTTTCTCGGTTCAAAATATGATGCAGAGTCGTTCCCATAAAAATGCATGGGTGCCCGCTAGGACTCTTCAAAATGATTAAATTAACTGAGCTCGCGCTATACTCTGTTGCAACTCTAGAATAACAGAAGCCCCTCCCACAAAGCCCTTCACTCTTTTTAATAAGCAAACACTAGAGAGGAGGAGAGCCGAGAGGACGCCGCCACTCATGGCGAGCAAAGGGAATTGTGGGAGGGGCTTGTGCTATTCTATAGTTGCAACGGACTATAAAAAAAGTTTACAGTACCATGAAAACAAAAACACCAATCTTGCAGAGAAATTCGCGGGAAGTGTAGCAGGAACAGAATAGAAAAAACTGCAGCTGCAATATTTACCCTTTAAAATTACCTCGACAGCACAGCAGAGGCGACATGCTGGTGGTCAGCTCCTGGAGGGCCACCCCCTTGTACTGGGAGCACATGTAGTCTGAAACGAACAAACAAAAAATTAAATGCTAGGACAATCCGCACATGCTGTTATTTCGCTTCATTGGCCGCTTCAGAGAAAGCAAGCGTACACACCGTTGTCCAACCATGTCAGCTGCTAGCCGAAACTTCCTGCCGCCAGGATTAAGATATTGCTTGTGCTATAAAAAAACAATTACACACTACCCAGCTGGCACGCTGAAAGCTCAAACATTGAAGAAACTAACTCATAAAACTTCCAATGCAAGAGCTACACTCCCCCTCGTGGACAATACACAAAATTATGTTCAGTGTAAACCTTGGTGCACTGCAAGCCCGCTTCACCTCGGCCAGTTTGGAACATCTGCAGTTTCATTCTTTTCAAGTTATTATGCCTGGAAATTTGTGACAAATTAACAGGATTAACATTTTTTAATCGACACCCGGCCCAAATATTTAGGAAGTATACTAGTGGGTTAATTTCTAACTTACCATAATTATTTTCGGCATCCTGAAGGCGTCGCTTCAGGGTCCAGTTTTCATATTGGATCCAACTCACTCTCACAGCTGCAACCACACTGAAATGTTTGCAAAGTTTCAGGCAGGGTAATTAAAAGTCTGCAGTTTCTCTCGAACACCGCTGTCAGAAATGTTATCTTGTTTTGTCATTTTGTTCTGTTTAAAGGTGGTTTGGGGTGGAGAGGGGGGGGGGGGGGTCAATTTCAATCCTCGCACATGTTTACCTGAGCGCCAAAGGCATGAGCTCGGATGAGACTATAGACTCTTTGCAGCAGCTGTGCATGGGCGCCGCGATAACTGACCTTCAGTTTTTGTTTCATCTTATTATATTTACTTGACTTCATCACAACCACAGCAGGGCAGGTTATTGCTATGTTAGGTTGTACTGCGTCATTCTCCACAGCCTGGGCCTCTGTGGAGGCTTGTCAACGCTCGCTTCAGTGGCTGGCATGTGGGAAGGACAAGAGAAGGTCAGCAATGGCGGCTGTAATTTTGCGCGTGTGTAAAGCGTCTATACTCTCTTTCATACTTAGGGTGCAACGCTGTCAAAGCTACTGGCGCGAGCGTGGGGCTTGATCTCGTTGATCATTTGCACGTCTTCTCGCGCAAGCAAAACCGTAGATGAAGCCACGCACTCGCGCCAGTAGCTTTGACAGCGTTGCACGCTAAGTATGAAACAGTATAATGCCGGCCAAACTTCAAACCAATGGGAAGAGGAAGACAGGAAGAAGGAAATGGGACTTGGAGCGCTTCGGGTTCACCAACCACGAACCTGTGACAACTGCATAGGTCATTCAACACACATTTCATACCGCTTAAACACTGTGTCGAACTGCATTTTGAAGTCAGTCCCAATTCCAACGGTGTATGAACAGGGGCATTCATTTCGTGGCATGCCTAGAAATGAATCGAAGTGACGCAAGCTGGGAACACACTGCTGCTGCTTCATTTGGGAATAACTTCGGTTCTCCGCTTGATCACATCGCAATTGCAAAATGAAAGAGAAAAAAAAAAGAGGCGAAAAGGAACAACTGTTTTATCAAAAGTTCTAACCGACAAATGTAAACCCACTTCAATTCTAGAAAGTCAGGGGACCGAAGTTTGTCCTAACAGTACAATCCAGTCCACTTCCATAACTTCAAAACAAAAGGCGGATATCCTCTTCAACCATTTTGACAGAAAAGGTATACTGGCTCTGCATGAACCGAATTCCAAGGAAGTCTAACTTCTGAAATGTAATGAGGTATGATCAATGTAATTAATTTATAGTTGAACGACATCAGTACACTGATAGCCCAATAAGACATTTTCTAAAACAACGGACTGAAAGTAGCATTAGGAATTCAATACGTGGTCCGTGGACATAAGCTACACTTTCTCGGACCATACACATAACGAGTGGCAACTTTTCATTATGCTACCCATTGATCCAAACATTAGGACAGATAAAGCAAATCCAACTAGTTAAAAAAAATACATTGTAGCTTAACGAGAAAACGTGTGCCGAGAAAATAGGGAGTTTTAGAATATCGGGCGCTACTTTACCGAGGGTTACGGACGGCAAAATAGCGAAGATTGCGGCGAAGAGTTTTTTGAATAGCGTTTCTCTGCCAGGGACCCCCCAAATGCAAGCATCTCGCGCTTAAAACTCCACGAAGATGTCGCGACAGCTTTTATTTCGAAGTAGAACGTTTTATCTTGAAAATTAAACAAGCCTTTTGTCCAGAGTAACGTTTTTATAGTTGTTTTATACTCAATGCCGCATGTTTTGTTTTTGTCACTGCCAAGCTGCTCTGTTGTACTTACGAAGCCTAAACGATCCACTACCCAGGCATGCTTACATGTCTGCCGCGAACGTAAGTACACACGCCTCGATAGCTTTGAGCTGTGAAACCAGCGATCCGTGGCGTTTTCAATACCCTTCGACCATACGGACCGTGGTCGCCGAGTGCGACTCACGCAGTTTCCGAGCGGGCGACGGCATCGAAGACGCGATCAACGGAGATGTCGTAAGCGCCGCCTTTTGCGGCACCCACGCTATTATCGAGAAATAACGGGCCCCAAAGCTCGAGTCCAAAGCTTGTTTTGGGTCTGCGCATGCACAGCAGCCACGAAATTATTCTAAAACTCCTTAATCTTCACTTCTCGTTCAACGCGTACAATGCAAACAAAGAAGTATGCTTACCAACTGCGTTGAGTACCTCGTACTGTCGCGTCGTCGGTCTTTCGCGCTCTTTTTGAAAATAATCATCACAAGAGAAAACTTCACAGATAGATAAACTTGAGTATATTAGCACATTTCCATGTCTAAAGGCATTTCAATCATGCGACACACATGCCCAACGGCCCAACAGTGCAAAACTGGCGAAACCATGCCAGAAAAAAAAAAGAAAAAACAAAGAACTGGTGTTGCTAGCGATCGGGCCATAGAGTAATATACACAAGGTAAAGAGCGGACACTGCCATAGGCCCCAACGGCCCAGATAGAGCAGTGGCAACTAGCGCTCTTAGCGGACGGTATTAAACACAATCTGGTTCCGGTTCCGGTCAAGTTAGTTGCAGTTTCGGTTTGGGCATTTTTGTTTCGGTTTTTCGGTACCCTTCTTCTTCTCTTTTTCTCTCTTTCTTTCCTTCTCGCCTCCCTCCTCGCTAGGCTCTCGGGAGCTCCTTGGCTCCGGAGCCGATGATTCTTTTTTTTGTTGTTGTTTTTATGTTGACGCAGATTTATTTTGATTTTTACGATATAAGTTTTGCAAAATGCGTAATGTGTCGAATAACAGTTCAACTTATTGAACACATTGAAGTACATAATCGCCACATTGACTCCTGGCTGGTGGAGCATTTTGGGAGGTTTTGGGGTCAACAACAGTAAGTGGTTTGAAAACATTTTATTGCACCACATTCATATGTACATTACTTACTTCAGAAGCTCTGTATGTTTTATAAGAAATAGATAATCACAAAAATAAATGAGTATGAAGGAGTTCGGCAATCGTACACTTCGTAATAGATTTTTAGCGGAGTCAAGTTTCTATTTTCTATAGAAATTCTGCAGAAAGTGGATGAATATTTGTGTAAGGGGGCCGTGATACACATTTCCTGGAAATAAAGAAAGCACATGTTTGGAGTGCAAGCTACACTGCCCAATTAATAAGCAATTTCTGTTTTTGATTTGGCAACCGCCTCTGTTAATACGCTATTAAGCTATTAACAGTTAAACTTATCAAGTTGCTTACTAGCAACCGAAGAGTGTAACCGAACTTTGCCCAAGTTCCGGTTAAGGAACCGAACATGCCAACACAAGCGTATTCGGCAAAACATTTTTAAAAACCTTTTGTGACACTCCTGTGAGCAAAGGCTGAAACCACCCAGCTCTGAGAGTGTGTGATACAAGGCAGCACACACTCCTCGAACATGCGCTACTCTCTCTATTACGGCAAGAAAGTGATTTTCTAGTTTCTGAATGAAGTTAAAGGCAGCCTGTGATGGTACTACTAGGTTCCCGAAGAGTTTCCCAGGCACGTGGTATGCTTTAAGCACAAGAAAATACTGGTGAGGCCTGGTCAAGTTGTCAGACTCATCCTTTAGCAGCTTAGAACAGCCACAGCTGCGGGTTGTCTGTTCAAGGAAAAGTTTGATCAAATAGCCTCCGACGTAGTAAGTGCACGAGTCATCAATTATGTTAGACCTGATGTCTGATGCCAGCTCAGAAATATCTTCTAGTGGCGGGAACTTATCAACTGAAAAACATTCCACATTGTCTGCAATAGAACTTTCATGGTGCGAAAATATTGGCAACTCCTTGAGGAGGTCAGCCTTTTCATCCTCTACATTTCCATTGTTAGAGAGTCTGAACAGTTTTTTTATCCCGATGTGTTTCAGTCCCGAGGTGAACTGATTCACATTTGGGTTTGTATTGCAGCCCAGCATTTGTCTTATTGCCCCAAAAATGTTCTCCAGTGGGTCTTGCTGCAGGCGTCGAGTAAGTAAGAATTTAAAGTCATAGCTGTTTGAAAGCTCATCCCAGAGCATGAGGACACTCCTTATTGTAACTTGCCACCCTATGGTGGTTTGTGGCTGCCTCCTACTTTGGAACTTCCATGTTGAAATCCATGCGAGTTGTTGGTGAAGGAAATCGAGTATCTCAGATTCTCCTTTCAAAATTGCATGACGCAACTTCTGCCCCGTCTTCTTGAATTGCGAGCTATTTAAACAATCAAAAAGTCTGTCCATTCTGTCACAAAAATAGGCTGTAGCCATGGCTGCCTCAGGAAGCTCCTTGGCATAAACAAGGGATAGAATGGCAAGACAGACTGAGGCACTCAGGACCTGTGTGGCACGCTTTACTTTCATGTTACTGAAAGGTTTTTGAAAAATGTGCCTCTTAGTAAGTTTTGGAGCCAATCGCAACCTCATCTCATGAGTAGAACGATAAAGTTCAACAATATGGGACCATTCAATGACCTCATCCCCAATGCAAAGATTGTGGGCTTGGAGATTGTTTCTGGTTGTTTTGATGAGGTGCGGAACATCAAAGATAAAGTAAACATGTTCGTTGTCGACTTCAAAAAATGGCTTATCAGCAGATACACCAAGTTGGTTGGCTAAGCTTACGTTTGAAGCCCCCTGATCACAGACCACGGCCTTCACAGTGAAGTCAACAGTCTTAAGCTCTCGAATGAGAGAAATCAGGAGGCTCCGGATAACAGAAGACGGTGTTGAAGTGTGCCCAACAGTGTATGCGAGGGGCTGAACCCACCTCCTGGAAAGTCCAGAGAGCACAACAACCAGGGCTCTATCTGCAATGGTCGAGGTTCGTTCAACACCGTCATCTGCAAGTCCATGGATAATGTCGTGTGCAGGGTCGTATGTCAAGTTCTTCTTCAAAACAATCTCATCAAAAATCAAGGTCCAGACACGATCACGTGCATTCCAAGACCGCGTTTGAGATTCGATGGAGGACATGACACCAGGTATAATACCAGGAGTCATTTTTACGTTCGATAGCCACGTACGCAGTGAACGCTGTGTGGGAAGCGTTAAATGTAACGATAGAAAACGGTATGCCTGTGGGCCATGAAAGTTCAGATGCAAAGCAAACTTCTTGAACCACAGTGGAAACCGTTTTCCTCGTCCTTTGCGCCCTAATTTTACATGTGACGAAATAAGTCCAAAAACCTCTTCTGTCACAAACGGACGCACCATTTCAAGTGCTTCGGCAGCTGTTTGAGGCATTTGCTTCTGTTGCTTGCGCAGTCTTGATATTGTCTTTCTGTAACTGGAAAACTTTGCTTGTAGGCGTTTTATGACGTCCCTGGGCCTCCTTGAGAGCTTGGCGGAAGCAGGTGTTGAACGACCAGAGCCTGCCAAAACAATACCGACAGCACATAAGTCAGGCTGCACAAAAATGATAAAAGTAGAACCCGACAGAAACGATACCGCCAAATACCGACCACTTATCCATGCTGCAATATGTGCCCCCTCCCCCCCCCCCCCCCCCCACCACTATCGAAACGTTTGCGAAATAAACAAAGCACGTATCAATGTCCAACTCCAGACTTAAAAACCCACCCACCTAACATAAATGCTCATCCGCTTCAGCTGCTTCTCCAAGCACACCAATGTAAAAGTTGAAGCTTGACAGAGTGCACGGGCCTCCAAAGTGGTGACCCCCCTTCCCCCCAACCTTTGGCTGTTCTGCAATTTTGCTTTCGGGCATAAGAAGCATACATATCTGAGTTTTTCATGATTATCTCCAAATTGTGAGTGGGCATTTGCTCCGCATGTTCTGTTACCACTGTTTACACACAAATGGCTGCTATCAGAAAAAAAATTAAACTAGCTGTTAGTCTTTCAGCTGCAATAATTTCACTACAAAAACTGTATTAACATAAATTGATGAATCTTTCAAATATTGAATAATCGCGTAGTCAATCACTACATTCAACAGGGTCATCCAAAATGAGAACTGTACGTAACAGGATTGGCAAATTACTACAGTAAGCACAGATTACTAGGAAACCACCCCTTTTCAGAGCATTTCACGGTGCCACACTTCAAAGCTTATGTTCCCCGTCACCTAGAGCCCTGTAGTGATGTTCCAAGTTATATAGGCCAGCACAAAAATGAAGTGACAAATAATGTCACCTAATTGGAAGCAATGTGCATACTAAATGCAGAGGTACTTAACACAATTTGCAGTGCTTAAATCTGTAGAGAAGTCAATTTATACTCACAGGTTCCAGATGATTCAGAATAGCCAACAGACGAAGGTGGAGTGCTGTGGTCCAAAAGCTGGCCAGGAGAGCTGGCCATCCCCATTTGCTCTGGAAAATGTGTCACTGTTAAATACGAATGTTTGCATAAACCTAGTTTGTGTAGGAGATTTATTTTACCACAGGCAGCTATGGAATGTGACGCGCTGGTACCCTCCAGTGAAATACCACAGGGGCTTGTCGCCATCGGTTGTTCTGAAAAACGGTTGCTTGTCAGATATGAGCAGCTGTTTTAAAAGAAATGATCTCACCATGAGCAGCTGCCGAAGGTGACGTTCCACTGCCTTCCATTCGAACATCCCCGGGGCTTGGTTCCGCCATCGGCTTTTCTGAAAAGGGCTTCCTTGTCAGATATGAGCCGCTCATTTAAAATAAATAATCTCACCAGAAGCTGCTGTGGGATGCGACGTTCTGCTTCCCTCCAATGGAACGTCACAGGGACACGTCGCCACCGGTTCTTCTGACAAATGTTTGGTTGTCAGCTATGAGCAGCTGTTTTAAAAGAAATGATGTCACCATGAACAGCTGCCAAAGGTGACGTTCCGCTGCTTTCCATTGGAACATTCCCTGGGCTTGGTGCCGCCATCGGCCCTTCTGAACGACATTTGCTTGTCAGGTATGAGCCCCTGTTTTAAAATAAATGATCTCACCACGAGCAGCTGTTGAAGGTGACATTCCACTGCCCTCCAAGGGAACATTACCGGGGCTTGGTGCCGCCAGCGGTTGTTCTGAAAAACGGTTGCTTGTCAGATATGAGCCGCTGTTTTAAAAGAAATGATCTCACTATGAGCAGCTGCCAAAGGTGACGTTCCACTACCCTCCAATGGAACATTCCCGGGGCTTGGTGCCACCATCGGTCCTTCTGAAAGATGTTTGCTTGTCAGGTACGAGCCCCTGTTTTAAAATAAATGATCTCACCATGAGCAGCTGTTGAAGGCGACGTTCTGCTTCCCTCCAATGGAACGTCACAGGGACATGTCGCCACCGGTTCTTCTGACAAATGTTTGGTTGTCAGCTATGAGCAGCTGTTTTAAAAGAAATGATCTCACCATGAACAGCTGCCAAAGGTGACGTTCCGCTGCTTTCCATTGGAACATTCCCTGGGCTTGGTGCCGCCATCGGCCCTTCTGAACGACATTTGCTTGTCAGGTATGAGCCCCTGTTTTAAAATAAATGATCTCACCACGAGCAGCTGTTGAAGGTGACATTCCACTGCCCTCCAAGGGAACATTACCGGGACTTGGTGCCGCCAGCGGTTGTTCTGAAAAACGGTTGCTTGTCAGATATGAGCAGCAGTTTTAAAAGAAATGATCTCACTATGAGCAGCTGCCAAAGGTGACGTTCCACTACCCTCCAATGGAACATTCCCGGGGCTTGGTGCCACCATCGGTCCTTCTGAAAGATGTTTGCTTGTCAGGTATGAGCCCCTGTTTTAAAATAAATGATCTCACCATGAGCAGCTGTTGAAGGCGACGTTCTGCTTCCCTCCAATGGAACGTCACAGGGACATGTCGCCACCGGTTCTTCTGACAAATGTTTGGTTGTCAGCTATGAGCAGCTGTTTTAAAAGAAATGATCTCACCATGAACAGCTGCCAAAGGTGACGTTCCGCTGCTTTCCATTGGAACATTCCCTGGGCTTGGTGCCGCCATCGGCCCTTCTGAACGACATTTGCTTGTCAGGTATGAGCCCCTGTTTTAAAATAAATGATCTCACCACGAGCAGCTGTTGAAGGTGACATTCCACTGCCCTCCAAGGGAACATTACCGGGACTTGGTGCCGCCAGCGGTTGTTCTGAAAAAAACGGTTGCTTGTCAGATATGAGCAGCAGTTTTAAAAGAAATGATCTCACTATGAGCAGCTGCCAAAGGTGACGTTCCACTACCCTCCAATGGAACATTCCCGGGGCTTGGTGCCACCATCGGTCCTTCTGAAAGATGTTTGCTTCTCAGGTATGAGCCCCTGTTTTAAAATAAATGATCTCACCGTGAGCAGCTGTTGAAGGCGACGTTCTGCTGCCCTCCAATCGAACATCCCCAGGGCTTGGTTCCGACATCGGCTTTTCTGAAAAGGGCTTCCTTGTCAGATATGAGCCGCCAATTAAAAATAAATAATCTCACCATAAGCTGCTGTGGGATGCGACATTCTGTTTCCCTCCAATGGAACGTCACAGGGGCATGTTGTTGCCACCGGTTCTTCTGAAAAATTTTGGCTTCTCAGATATGAATACCCGCTCATAAAGCTTCTGATGGAGAATTCCTGCTACAGGCGAATGATAGGTTAGTAGTGTTACCTTTCAAAGGAACAGAAAATATTCAGCACTCTGAAAGGGCATTGAAATCCCTTAGTGATGAAAATTAATGTTGAGCAATATTAATCCATGGCGAAACACAGGATCCGGCGGGTCTTGAAAAGGCACTTAGGAATCTCGGAATATCTTAAATTTTAACGGCCCGGTATGCTAATGTATGAGAACATAACAGCATGGGGAACTAAACCTAACCTTGTAAACATGAGTGTCAGGAAGATGACTCAGACGGCATGAGTCCTCTTGTCGAATTGGATATGAACAGGGGAACGTTGACCTGCCTTATCTTTCATTTATATCACTATTGTATGCTACAAACCTAGGATGCCCTGTAAGAAGTCATACTGCACTGGGAGAACTGCCCTTCTTGATTGCAGGACACAAATTACTGTATTTCAATACAGCTGACCTTGTGCTTTAAAACAATTTTCCAACAAACTGGGCCGGTCATTGGTTATGGGCAACAGTATGCGCAGGGACATTACAGGGATAATGTACAAAAATGCTAAATGAATTAGATAAAACATTTAAGCACAAACTAACAATAAAACTAATTAAATCAGATTAAAACTTTTGAGACTGTCAAGCATCGTTGACAGCATGCTGGCAGTTGGCATCAGTGACGTAGAGTTGGTGCTGCCTAAAAGCAAAATATAACAGAACTCCGTACAGACTGCAAATAAAGAATATGTTACCTTGGGATGTTACAGATGGCCTAAGCATTTGCGGCCGAACAGTAGGGATAGCCGTTTTGGTCAGCCTTGTCTTCCCAGGATCCAAAAAGGCCTTGGCTGTGAAAAGCTCACTACACAGGCGATACCCCTCATAGAGCTCCTTGGCTGTCTTTCCTAGGAGCTCAGGACGTCTGGCGTACTGTAGCCATGCTTTTGACCTGCAGAACATTGTATGTACCACCAAGGTTACACATACTGTAAGGGTCAAATAAACTCCAAATATATGAGCCTTGTTTTTAATGTTTCACTGCCGTTTGGTATGGCACCTCTCAGCAAAGTGTTCAAGTTTTGAAGAGTTTGATTTTCTTCTTCATGCTACTGTACAGTGCAATACAGCTAAACAAACAGATTGCATACCCACCAGGGTATGCAATCAATTTAGGCCCGAGGCAAGATAACCTTAAAATGCTGAAAGATATTGGTGTCCATAAACCAAAGTGACATGGAACAAATCGTTTTTGCTATAGTCTGTTGCAACCTAAGACCGAAGGGCGAGGGTAAGACGGGCCGGGGAGGAGGGAGCAGACGGAACGCTGGAGAAGAAAGGGGAAAACCTCCTTCTCTCCTTAGCGTTTCGTGTTCCGTCTGCTTCCTCCTCCCTGGCCCGTCTTACCCTCGCCCTTCGTTCTTAGGTTGCAACGACCATAGTTCTCATTTCAAAATGTTATGCTTCGATCAAATGTTGTAAGGACAGCCTTAGAATCTATACGTACCTTGGGTCACGTGGAATTCGAAAAACCTTGACATGTGGCTTCTTTGTTTTCCCATTGTTGGCACACCAGACCACGCAGCAGTAACTTCCGTAGGACATAATCTGGGCCAGCGGGGGAGGGAGAGTTTAACATTTACTGAAGCCTAGCCAATGGCGCGTTCCTTTAGTCCAACGGAAGGTAGCACAATAGCGGCTGGTGAAAAAATAAACTGATGGAGAATTAAACAATGTCACAAGATATTGCCATGACGCAATGTTACAATAAACCCATGACACGTATTAACACAGACGGGTGAAAGAAATATTGTGAAGTTTGTGAAGTTTACGCAATCATCATGCATCATAATTCGAACGCAGTGTCTAGAGTGCCATCCCACAGCACTCCAACCAAGTGTTCAAGTGACGTCTGACTGGTTTTACCCAACGTTCGAATGTCACCCTTAAGAGTAAAACAGGAATTTAAGCATAGTACGGCGGTACGGCCAAAATGAGTAAGACTAATCTACCCCTACTGTTTCTGGTAAATTAGCCGTCAATATTTTGAATTTTGCTTTCTTACATAGAAAATAATGTCAGCGAACCATAGACCTAAATTTCGAGCTCCATTTGGTGATGTAGCAATGTAGTGGGAACCATGTTTGAATAGTCCTCCGTACATTCTCAGAGTGTCCGAAAGTTCCATGGATGTCCTATCCTGGATGTCCCGTGGACGTCCATAGGATATATATGCTGCTTGGGAACTATATTAAATATCTAAATTTGATACTGCGTCTCGCAGTTTTTTCCCCCGAAATTCTATGCATGCGTTTGTCGTCGTAACTGCAGCATACTGCAGCTCGTATGGCGGTACACACAAGCCATGTAGCTCGCTTGAGCGACGTTCGCTGGTTCGCTTCTTTTGCACGTACTTTATGTGATAAACCAAAGCAGCGACGCGCCATTCAAAGAATGCATGTCAAAATATCAATATGACTCAATGGACACCTTGCCCCGAATTCGTCGCACTGCGAACCACTGTCGACCCAGCTTTAGTCAGTGAATTAACTTCAATCTATGACGGCATAAGTACTCTCAACAGCAATCCACAGATGACTGATGGCACTTGAACACGCATGAACAAAGCTCTGCCCGAGGGGCGTCGGACGGCAACCCAGACTCAGCAAATTCAAAAGCCAGCTTTACAAGACAGTCGAGAGACAAATGAGCAAAACGACTTACCTTTCGTTTAAAAATCTAGGTCCAGGCAGCCCGACGGAAGCACGAGAAGCTCAAGCCATATCAAGCCGCTCAGCTCTACAAACTCACGCCGAGCATGAGAGCACGCGGCGGTCATTCGTCACGTTGTTTCAAGCAAAGTCGACCGAACACGCTGTGGCATAAAACGGAGAAGAACGGCACGGACGACACGGACGGTACGGTACGGACGAACGAAGCACGGACCGCACGGACGAGCAGAGGTGACGGCGTGCAAGCAAGCAGGCCATGGCAGGCGCCATTCATCACGTGGTTTTTGTGACGTATTTGATTAACACTAGTTAGTCGTTTTAAGTATTTTAAATAACTCTAAAGCATAACAATTTAGAAAATAAATACTTTTCGGAGAAAAAGCTCGAATTAATATTAACCAAATTACAGAAAAGCGCCACGTAGCGGAGGGTATGAAACGCACTATCTAGGCCGCGAATCGGCTTCAGTGTCCTCTCTTTACGTTTACTATATTACTCTATGATCGGGCGTCGAAGACGCAATTCGTAAAATATGAAACCGAAACTAGTAAATGGTACAATACTGAAACCGAAACTGACCAAATCGCGATAGATTGGCGCCGTAAATATGAGGTCTATTCCCATGATGCATCTTGTGTCGGGAAACTAGGTTTCGGGAAACAGATTCCCCGTCTGAACGCGACCAAAAAAAGTGGCGCGTGTTTCTCGCTTCTGGAGCAATTTTTCGATGAAACCTCACCGACGCCAGTGAATCACCCGTACCACCCGAAGGAGAAACGCGGACGCTTCCAATGGCCGCTCCACTTCGCTATGACGTCGGACCTTCGAGGAGGCGCCAGCTTTTAGAGGAGTCTGATTTTCGGCCGATTCCGTATCCGAGCCGAAGCCGAAAGAAAACAAACAAACAGTGCGAGCGACAAGCGGAGAAGCGGTGCGTACGGGCGACGAGTCTTGATCCCACTCGGTTGCACGCGTGTGAACGGCGCCTACGGTACGGATTGGGGGCGCGGTGCAGATTCGTCAACAGTCGCGGCGGGTGCAAGCACCGTATATAAACACGATGACTGGGGATAACGTTCTTTATTAGCGGTGCAAAAATGTCCGAAATGCTTCAAGATCATCTCGCGGTTTCTCTCGAGTTTGGCAGGAGTAGTAAACCCATGAGCCGAATCTGACGAAATTTATTGAGTGGCATTAATAAAACAGGCTGTCTCTTCACACTGTGCGTACTCCATATCATTTTGATGCGAAACGCTTGGTATTCCCGGTGAAGATGACAAGGTTTGGCGAAATTCTTGTCAGTCAATAGTTTCGTGCGTCAAACTCCACGTGTGAACAGGCCGATTTCGCGAAATCTTGGTTTCGCTAAACTCTGGTGCGTTGAAAAGATGCATCGTGCGAATAATCCTTTATGAGTAAAAGAGGGTGAATACAGTTATTATTTTAAGCACAGGAAATAAATCTGTATATCAGAACTAGCACCGACGCGCTATTTGCTTCGGGTGCAATGCAGTAGGGAGTAGATTTATTAATATATTTTTTTTGATAACACTCATTTCAATGTGTAATGAGTAAACACAAAAGAATCGCTATTGATTGGGTAACGATAAACCTCACTTGAATTTGTAATGAGTAAATTCAAAAGAATTGATATGGAGTGGGTAATGATAAAAGTCATTTAACGATAAGTTTCTGATGAGTTTCATTTAACTCTATAAAAACACAATAGAAGCTCAATTGAAACTCATTGTTCATTTTTGTAAGGGTAAAGCGTGACATTCAATAAGGTTGCGTAGGTTACACCAGGACGTAACTTTAACCTTTTTACCTCCGTCAGACGTAACTTCCAGTTCCATTTCATGTTCCGTACGACGTAATTAGCTGGAAACCTTTGGGTAAAGTTACGTCGGACGTAAAAAATTCGGTTTTCATTGAGGGTTCTGTCGGAAGTAACTTTAATTGTCACATTGCTTACGTCGGACGTAACTCGAAACCTTGGGGTAAAGTTACGTCGGACGTAACTCTAATTTTTATTTTGCGTTCCGTCGGACGTAACACTAGGCACTGCGTTAATTAAAAAATATCACTGGCCTAAAAAATTTTGCTATCCTAGAGTTTATGCTATATGAAGGAATCTATTCCTTCTTATCTCTTAATTTTTACTTTTAGCCCCTGCCCCGCCAGATGCAACATCTGGCACAACGCAGTGCTTTAGATCTCTTTCCAAGACCTGAGACAAGTCGTCATTCATTCCAGGAGTCGGCGGTGTGTCACAGGCGTGATGCTGGTGCTTCTTACCGGATGGTGGTACCGAGAGACAAGTGATCAGGCTTGAGAAAGGCAAGTATGGCCGCCGGGAGTACACATACTGTTTTTACCTTTGCTCAAATCAACTACATTTAAGAAATGCTCCGTTTGCATGTGCGCATTCCTCGATGCTTCTATAGTCGGCGTGTTACTAGAGAGTTTTAGTAGAACGTTCCGATACCTCAGATAGCCCCGATAACGATACTAGGATTAGGATTAGGATTAAGATTTGAATGGCGCAGCGGCAACGGTGGCCATAATGCGCCAAACAAAATGTGTTTTAAAGATAGAATGAAACAGATGGTAGCCTAGAGAAACTTTTTATAGCTGGTGTAGATATCCAGTTTTGTTAATAAAATCAAAAACTCGTCTGAGTGGTACTAAGGCATTGTCTCCAAGTAAAAACATAGGATGAAAGGGAAGATGGTTTCTAAATAGTTCAGGAAAACATGATACGCGCAGTTGATGATAAAACCTACATTCCCATAGAATGTGTAAAACAGTAAGTAATTCCCCAGAATGGGCACAAACTGCAACATCTTCGCCACTTAGAAGGTATGTATGTGTCAAACATGAATGGCCAATTCTCAAGCGGCAAAGCAGAACCTCAAGGTGGCGGTTCTTGTGGAATGAACTTTCCCAGATGCCTATCATGGGTTTAATCACGTGGAGCTTGTTGTTGGTTTCAGTTTCCCATTCCAGCTGCCAAGTCTTCAAAAAAGATTTCTTTAGAAGTGGTTTAAAATCCTGGCAGGGCAGGCCAAAATATACTATTGAGTCTGTAACGGATAGGACCAGGCGATCTGCATTCTCATTTCCTGCGATTCCTACATGACTCGTTACCCAGCAACATTAGATAGCGCATCCAAGGCGAAGAGCTCTGTTTACTTTAATACGAACATGTTGTTTAAGTATATTCTTTGTAGAAACTCTGGAAGAAATAGCAGATAAGACACTTTGCGAATCGACAAAAATGACTGCGTTCAATACATTGTTGTCCAGAATATGCTCAATGGCTAATAAAATACAATAGAGCTCTGCGGTGAAGATGCTTGCCATTGAGTCAAGCTGTACAGCTCTTTCAAAGTTACTAGAATAAACTGCACAACCAACGTGACTTAAAGATTTCGACCCATCGGTATAGTACTCGTTGCAACCTCTAGATATTTATTCTTGTAAAGATATAAACTCTTTCTGAAGAAACTGTGGAGCAACGGTTTTCTTACTGTATATGGTGAGAGACCAGTCACAACATACGGGTAGCTTGTTCCAAGGGGCAATTCTCTCTATAGATTTTAGCAAGTTAACACCACTTGTGGAAGGGACAGGGAGGTTGAGAGAGTTACAGATACCTTGAACTCGAAAGCCTAGGGGGCGCACAATTGTTGGCTTGTTTTCAAACAATTTACACAACTGAGGGGTGTGTAAAATACTATAAGCAGGATTTTTGGGATCCGAGAGGACTTTGTAATAATAACACAGGCTAAAGTACTGTCGCCGTTTTCCAAGAGACATTTGATGTTTGTCCACATACAAGCTTAATACGGGTGATGTGCGAAATGCCCCAGTGGCAAGCCGGAGCCCAAGGTGATGAACCGGATCCAACATCCTTAGTGTGGAAGGTCGTGCTGAACCATAAACGATCGCTCCATAATCCAGGCGTGACCGAACTGAAGCATTGTACAACCGTAGGAGGAATCACCTGTCAGACCCCCAAGATACATGTGACAGCACCTTAAGGATGCTAGAGGATTGCAAGCACTTCTGCTTTATTTCATTTACATGAGACTTAAATGTAAGCTTTTTATCAAAGACATGCCTAAAAATTTATGTTCTTGCTTCACCGATATTTCTGTGTTATTCAATTGTAAGAATGGATCCAAAGATAGACCTCGTCACAGGGGGAAGGGCACACACACAGTTTTCTCTGGGGAGAATTTAAAACCATTTTCATTTGCCCACTTGCTCATCCTGTTTGTCGTGAGCTGTAATTGCCGTTCACAACTAGAGAGGTTGCAAGACGAAAGAAGATATTTGCACATCGTCCACGTAAAGAGAGTAAGAAACGGATGACGGTATAACGTGATCTAGACTGTTTATCTTAACTGCAAATAAAGTGGCACTTAAAACTCCGCCCTGGGGGACACCATTTTCTTGTAAGAAGATACTGGATAAAGTCGAGCCTAATCGAACATGAAATGTACGTTCACTTAAATAGTTCTGTAAGCAACGGAGCATGCGGCCGCCACGCACTCCATAGTTGTACAGATCTCGAAGAATACCATACCTCCATGTAGTGTCGTATATGCCTTCTCTAAATAAAAAAACACGGACACACAATGCTGCCGGTGAACAAAGGCCTCGCGTATGACGGTCTCAAGTCGGACCAGGTGGTCCATAGTCGACCGTCCAGCTCGAAAGCCACACTAGTTAGTATCGAAAAAGTTTTTCTCCTCCAAAAAAAAACATAAGGCGGCGATTTATAAGCCTTTCATAAGTTTTCCCCAAGCAACTTGTAAGAGCTATGGGGCGGTAGCTTGTAGCTAGAGAGAGATCTTTTCCAGGCTTCAGCAAAGGTATAACGTAGGCACATCTCCAAGTATGCGGAAAAGCAGCAGCTTCCCAAAGGTAATTGAAAAAGGATAGCAGGTGGTACAAGAATTCATGAGAGAGGTGTTTGAGCATCTCGTAGTGAACTCTGTCTGGCCCAGGTGCAGACTGCTTTTTTAAGCTGAGAGCAACTTCGAGTTCACACATTGTGAATGGTTTGTTGTATGCAACAGAGTTAAAGCCTGACATAGTGAATTTCTGTTTTTCAGCGGTAGACCGGAACTTTCCAAACTC